GTAACTCCCAGTTACCCCCATACCATTCCAGTGGTATGGAATACGTCTTTGGCTAGCCTGGGTCAGGCGCCCCATCTCTGCTTCCTCACAGATTCCCCTCCTCCCTGGCAGAGCATGAGCCTCACAAAGTCCTTAGTGTAAACATCAACCAAAAACATCAGTATCACCAGCACTGTTCCCAGGCTGGAAGTCAAAACACTGCACTGCACCAGCTACCACAAAGGAGAAACATGACTGCTACTGCTGAACCCAGGACACTTCTGAATGCTTCTAACAAAGAACACCCATGGTGCTGGAGTCATGAGCCTCAGTGTTATGGTTTGAAAGAGTTTAGTGTTAGGGTTAGGGTCAGGGTTAGTGTTCAAAGAGCCACAAAGCCTACAGGTCTAGAGACATTGCTGCTGCAAAAGTCCTACCAAGCCAAGTATGGACAGTGCAAACTTTGGTTCTTGAAAACATTTCTCATGTGCAAAACCTGTGGGTACTGTAAACCAGTCTCAGTATTACCAAGTGATAGAGGTTAGGGTTACACTTAGGGTTGGGTTTCAAAGAGCCACAAAGCCTACAGGTCCAGAAACACTGGTGCTGCAAAACACATACCTAGATGAGCACGACGGTACACAAACCCTAGACCTCACTCCAATTTCTCCTTTGCAACACTGACAGTACTGGAAATTATACCTCAGTATTTAGTATCACAATAGTTAGGGTTAAGGTTAGAATTAGGGGTAAGGGAACACACGAAGGCTGCATGTCAGAGCCATTGGGGCTGCAAAACACAAGCCAAGATGAGTATGACACTGCACTGATGGGGAGGGTTAACCGATGTACGGGGGGGTAAGTCAAGCCACTTGCTTAACAGTGTTACTGCTTGCTCATGCTTATTGGACTTGCAATGTACAAGGCGGTAGGTCAAGCAGTTTGCTTAAATGTTACTGCTCGTTCATGCTTATCGTACTCACCGTGTATGCTAGAACAAGATATAAGGACAGAGCTATTGTTGAGAGATAGGGACCATGACTCGATTCCCATCCTTTGGATGCCTAGGCTGGCTGAAATTGGCTCTGCACTTTGGACAATGACCAAGCCTCCAGGGAGCATGCATAACGACTAGATGTGAAAAGTTCAGGCTCGAGGAAGACTCGTTTACTTCATCTTGAGAACCTCGCCCACGACCACTAGGAGGCACTGTGCAAGTACAAAGGACTTATTAGGTTATTGTAATCTGAAACAGGAATAGGACATGAATATGTATAGGTGTATTGTGCAACCTCATGCATATGTATAACTTTAAAGAATAAATGTAGAGTGAAACTACGCTGCGGTGTGCGTGCCTTTGGAGGAGCTATCTCCCATGCGCCTCAGCACTGAATAAAATTATACCTACTTTACAACTTTAACGAGTTGTGGAGTCTATCCGTGTATCAATTTGGCGAGCCAGCCAGGAGACGTCTGCTCAGCTGCAGGATTGGGCGAGGGGTGGACATCCTAGGCGCCCCAGTCCGCTTGCCTGGAGGAGCTCCACTTCTCGTTGCTCACTGCACGGGCAGACAACAACCTGTGCCAGCTGTGGAAAAACAGTATACTTGGAATTTAGGTTTGTACTTTAGGGGGCCTATAAGTCGTACGTGTGGCCCGGGTCTGCTGGTAAGGCGTGCAGAGACATCTGGCGGACAGCGTAGTTCCCCTTGGCAGGCAGGTCTTGCAAGCAGGTTGGGGACTCATTGACTGATAGGGTGGCTGCTAGCGATCCTGAGGGTGGATAGGGTGAGTCCGGGTTTTCGCTGCATCCCAGGTTTTGGGAGCCAGGACAGACCTGCTACTGACTGTGTCAGAAGCAGGAGAAGGGTAAGCGGAACCACTCAATGAGTGTGTCTGTGGGATCCCATGTGCAAGTGGTTTGTGTGACTGAGACGTGGCATAGCTACGAAGCCAGTGTGGAGTCCTAATCTGCAGTTCTGTGTTCTCCATGAGGAGAGAGGCCAGAAACAGTTTGTTTCTTTACATCCTGTTTGTCTATAACCATTAGGTAGTTTAGGAACTGGGGGAGGGTACGACTGCCTCTCCCACAGTGGTTAGCCTTAGGCCAGACAGCACACCCTGAATTCCTGGTGTGACACACAGAGCAGACCCTTAAACATCCAGAGGGGATCCCATCTGTACCCTGAGGGAACATAACTGTATATTATAGGTGGCACTTTGCATGGATATTGTGGCAGTGTCCCTTATGTAGGGCCTATTTCTACAGCAATTCACAAACCAAATGGGTAAATTATTGTTCTGGATGTGTTAGGAAGTATATGAAAGAAAATAATCAGAAGTATCCAGCTGACCATCTGTTGGGACCAAAAATAAGCGTGTTGATCTGTGGAAGGAGCCATAGAGTTCCGGAGATCTATCGAGAAATAAGAACAGAGAATTGGAAAAGAGTCTGTAAGAAATATCAAAGGAAATTCAAGGAAAGGAGGTTATAAAATTGGAAATAGAAAATGGGGGCAGGCCAAAGTAAGGAAATCCTGAAAAAAGTCCCTTGGGATACATTATAGAACACTGGAAAGAAATTGCAGGGCCAGGAGGAATGGAGGATAAAAGGACTGTAATTAAATACGGCAATCAGTGGTGGCCACTTTATAAGCTGGAAGATGGGGTAAAGTGGCCACTTAAAGGGACCCTAGACTATAACACTATGTTACAATTAATGTTATTTTTAAGGAGGGAAGGAAAATGGGATGAAGTATCATAAGTAGATATGTTCTTTACCCTTCGGAATCATCCCGAGTGCCAGAGGGATTGCGGAGTAATACCACCCCAATATCCCTTGGTATTAGCATTAGAGACAATAAGGAAAATAAGAGCAGGCCAAAACGATGCTGTTCATCATGCAATATATGTCAGAGGTGCAGGAAACAAGATAAAATTCATCATGATGTGAACCAGGAGTTAGTGGATCTATTCAAGCCCCCACCAAGAGAACGGGCAGATACAGATTTGGAGGACACTGTCACCCCCCATCACCCCCCACCCACCCCCACCCCGGGAGTCCGGTCTCCTCACGAACTTGGCAAAAACAGCAGGGACACATATTGCAAGCACCTCTTAGGGAAGCAGTAGGGCCTGAGGGGACTACGATGTTGATTAAGGTGCCTTTTTCCACTCTGGATTTGGAAGCATGGAAAAAGGTAGCGAAGGATTATCATAACGACCCTGTAAGTGTTACTAAACATTTGCAGTTTATCATGAAACAGCATAATCCAGATTGGAATGATTTGCAACTACTACTAGAGGGAATGACAGACAGAGAGATAGCTAATAATAAAAACAGCAGGAGATCTAGTCGAGGATTATTATAAGATGAAACAGGAGGATGTGGGGGAATTCTTCCCCCTCCAGGATCCAAAATGGGATCCGAACCAGTCAGCAGAATTTGAGAGACTGTGGGCTTATCAGGAATGGATTGTTAAAGAAGTTGAGAGGGCTATACCAAAAACTATAAATTGGTCAGCATTATATGCAGTAAAACAAGGCCCTTCGGAATCGCCATCGGAATTTTTAGACTGATTAAGAGATACCATGCTTCACAACACACTGTTAGATCCAGGACTGGAAGTAGGGGTACAACAGTTAGTATCCCTCTGTCTAGGATAATCTACTGGGGACATTAGAAGAAAGCTTCAAAAGTTACGGCTGACAGAGGGAAGGAATCTAGAGATCCTATTAGATGAGGCTTGGCGAGTATTTAGTAGTCGGGAGGAAGGCTATAAGCAGGGAATGTGGAGATTGGTGGCAGTAGTAGAAGAAGAAAAAGAAGGAGGATGGAGACAGGACCCCAGTTGGGTAAAGATCAGTGTGTGCTATGCTAAGAAATTTGGACACTGGAAGAATGAGTGCCCAGAGAACAGAAGAAATCATCATACAAATAGGACAACTACAAGTAAGAGAAGGGTGGTCGCACATGTGAAAGAAGAATGAAGGGGACTGGGGGAATCTTCCCTAGCAGACCTGCTGGTTACAATGAAGCTAGGGGAAACAGGAAAAGAAGTAGAATTTTTAGTTGATACAGGCGTGACATATTCAGTGTTGAACAAAGCTTTAATGCCTGTAGGGAATGATTACATTATGGTAAAAGGGGCAAGTGGTCAAAGTGAAAAGGTGTATTTTTGTAAACCATTGAAATATCAATTGGAAAAGCAATGGGGCATTCATAAATTCTTATATATGCCTAACTCCCCAAAAGCTCTCCTAGGGAGAGATTTATTGGAACATTTGGGAGCAACCATTACCTTCAAAGGAGGCGAGATCACTTTAGAAGTAAATGACCAACAATATATAGAGATGTTTAGTTTTAATCACTCATCAGGCAGAGGAAAAAGTTAGAGAGGATATACGAGAACAGGTATTCCCAGGGGTATGGGCTACGAACATACCTGGAAGGGCCAAAACTGCACCCCCGATACAGATTAAGCTCAAGAAGGGAAAACAGCCAGCCAGGATTAAACAATACCCCCTGAAGAAGGAAGATAGGGAAGGAATTTGCCCAATAATTGAAAAATTCCTACAATTAGGACTGTTAAGGAGTGCCAGTCTGATTTTAACACCCCTATTTTACCTGTTTGTAAACCTGATGGGTCGCACCGAGTGACTTATGAGGACTTATGAGCTGTTAACAAAATAACTGAGGACCTTTACCCTGTGGTAGCAAATCTATATACCCTATTAACATGCTTGACACCGGAGTTAACTTGGTTTACTGTTTTAGATCTGAAAGATGCCTTCTTTTGTGTCCCTCTCTACAAAGCCAGCCAGAAAATCTTTGCATTTGAATGGGAAAGCCCTAAGAGTGGGTGCAAAACCCAGCTCACGTGGACAGTGTTGCCTCAGCGATTTAAAAACAGTCCTGTGCTGTTTGGAGAACAACTTGCCAAAGATTTGGAATCCTGGGAAGCTCAGCCAGGAGAAGGGAAGCTACTGCAGTATGTAGACGACACCCTAGTAGCCATCCAGACAGAAGAGGCTTGCATAGCCTGGACAGTAAACCTCTTAAATTTTCTGGGACTTCAGGGATACAGGGTGTCTAAGAAAAAGGCTCAGGTAGTGAAACAGAAAGTGATTTACTTGGGCTATGAGGTTAGTGCTGGACAACAAACTCTGGGACAAGATCGTAAGGAAGCAATACGTCAAACCCCAAAACCCCGGACAATAAAAGAACTACTGACCTTCCTGGGTATGACGGGATGGTGTAGGTTGTGGATTTACAGCTACGGATTGCTTGTAAAGCCTCTGTGTGCACTCATTGCCAATGGAAACAGAGACCTCCAGTGGACAAAGGAGGCCACATGGGCCTTCAACCAGCTGAAGAATGCTCTCATGTCAGCTCCAGCTCTAGGACTTCCAGATGTGAGTAAACCCTTCTTTCTATTCTTCCATGAGAAACAAGGGATTGCTTTGGGGATACTGGCACAGAACTTGGGTCCATACCGACAAGCAGTTGCTTATCTGTCTAAGCAGTTAGACGCAGCAGCCAAAGGGTGGCCAGGATGCCTCAGAGCTGTTGCAGCAGTCATGCTAAACATTCAAGAAGCACGTAAATTCACTTTGGGTCAGAAAATAACTGTGCTAATGTCCCATACAGTGTTCGCAGTGCTGGAAATGCAGGGTGGGCACTGGCTTTCTCCACAAAGATTTCTGAAATACCAAGCCATCATGGTGCAACAAGATGATGTAGAAATAGTGGTGACTAACATTGTCAACCCAGCTTCTTTCCTTAGTGGAAACAAAGGAGAAGCGGTACACCACGATTGCCTGGAAACCATTGAGGCCACATACTCCAGCCGTCCAGACCTGAAGGATACCCCTTTGGACAACGCAGAAACCTGGTTTACTGATGGGAGCAGCTATGTCATCAGTGGAAAATGACATGCTGGATATGTTGTTACCACCTGCAGAGAGGTAATAGAATCTGGACCTTTGCCAATAAACACCTCTGCACAAAAAGCAGAACTGATTGCTCTGACTAGAGCCTTAGAAATAGCAAAAGGAAAGAATATAAACATCTATACAGACTTGAGATAAGCATTTGGGGTTGTGCATGCATGTGGAGCCATTTGGAAAGAAAGAGGACTGTTGAACTTGAAAGGGAAAAACATCAAACATGCACAAGAAATAGTGCAACTGTTGAAAGCCCTCCAACTGCCTGAGAAGGCAGCAATTATGCACATCAAGGCACACCAGAAGGTGAGCTCAGAATTGGAGGAGGGAAATGAACTGGCAGAGAGGGAGGCAAAAGAAGTGGCAAAAGGTCAGATGACAGTAGAAGGAGCCTTAATTCCAGATGGGAAAATTTCCCTGGAAGGTAAGCCAAATTATGATAAGGAATATTAGAAATTAATTACAGACCAAGGCAGAACCTTCAATGAGGAAGGGTGGGCTAGCACAGCACAGGGAAAAATAATTGTCCCCTCTTACCTGTTATGGTCCCTAGTAAGGGGTGAACATAAAAAAACACACTGGGGGGGTGGATGCCCTACATAAATATCTAAAAAGAGAAATTATGGCTAGAAACCTGTATACCACTATCCAACAAGTAAATCATCAATGTGATCTCTGCCTCCAAACAAATTCCAAAAACAACACAACCATAGGCCAAAAAATAGGCCAAACTGGGAGAGGTAATGGGCCAGGACAGCAATGGCAGATTGACTTCACGGAACTGCCAAGAAAAGGGGGATATAGATACTTATTGGTGTTAACAGATACCTTTTCAGGTTGGCCAGAAGCCTTTCCAACTAGAACTGCAAAGGCCCAGGAGGTTACAAAAGCACTGTTACAGGAAATAATACCACACTTTGGAGTCCCAGCCACTATGTCATCTGACAGGGGACCACACTTCATTTCAAATGTGTTACAACAAATTAATAAGCATTTGGGTATTGATTGGCAACTTCATACTCCTTATCACCCCCAATCAAGCGGTCAAGTGGTGAAAATGAATCATCTAATTAAACAGCAAATTGTGAAATTATGTCAGGGAGCCAGTCTACCCTGGCCTCAGGCCACTTCCACTGGCCCTATTAAGGATTAGAACTAAACCAAAAACATGAGAAGGGTTGAGTCCCTTCGAAATTCTATATGGAAGACCATATGGGGCTCAGCAAGGAACATCTCCTCAGACAGGGGAGGAAATTATGAATACCTACATAATAGAATTAGGAAAACAACTCAGAAAGATTGAAAAACTTCGGCTGGAACTCGGAGCAGGGGACTGGATAGCCCAGTACATAACATACAACCTGGAGACTATGTATATATAAAATCCTTCAAACCTGCAGGTGAAGATCTTGAACCAAGGTGGAAAGGACCATTTCAGGTATTACTTACAACTTTCATGGCTGTTAAAATCAAAGAACAGGGAGCCCAGATTCATCATACTCAAGAAGGCTTCAAAGGCCCCTTGGAAAGAAACACCAGGCGGTAATCAATTAAAACTAAAATTTATTCAAACAAGATAGATATATTATAGATAGAAATGCCAAAAATTGTCTTATATGTAATCATTATATGCCAAGGGGGAGAGGGATCTGACCTGTGGGGCCAAGCCCTCCCTGGATATACCAGATATATGGGATCACAATTAAGTATTCAGCATCTAACCCTGTCTATAATAGTTTTACGTGGTAATCAAACCAACTACCCATCTCCTTCTAAACCGGGAGACAAAGAATAATTCAAGGGACTGTGGGAGAGACAATCAATGTAGGATATTGATTAGATTGTAAGAAAGAGGGTATAGTATGTAGAACACTAAAAGGTCGGAATAAAATTACCTATAGGAAACCAACACAAATTAGTATAAGTACCCCGACTAATAAACAGGTAACAATTTGTAACCAAATAAATAAAACAGATTGCTGTCTTAATTTTACATTAACACAGAATGTCAAAGTAGTCTGTCTCTGGGCTCAGAAGACAAGAGGAATATCATTTAAATTTAAAATACATGTTAACTCAAGCACTACCACTATAGTGCCAATTAAAGTAGTTACTACTACTATCCAAACTCCAAAGATAAGTACCCGAGCCCCAATTAAGCTTGAACCCAAAATCTATGAAATAGGCCCATATGTAGTAAGGAATACAGGCCAACAACAAATACAGTTCAACCCAGAATGGTCCCTTAAGCGTGTTGAGTTAACAATGCAAATCAATATCTCCAAAATCCAACCAGGTTGTTTGCCTTTCATAAAGATGTGCTCTGAAGGCTGGACAACATGGCTACAAAAACAAGCACCTTTCAAGGACAGGGTAAGAAGAGATCTAACTGGAATATTAGGAACAGGTTTAGGGGTCTTAAATGGGATTGATTCAGAAATACTAATGAATAAATTGGCCACTGCAACCAGCGAATTAACAAAATTAAGGCAGCCACTGCAGTCTTCCTTATTTGCATTAGGAACTAGCCAATGGCAGACCTCAGAAGTACTACTGAAATGGAAAAGAACTGAGGAACAGGACCATAAATTACTTCTAGATACACTTGGGATAGCTCAGGATAATATATCCTTTGCTCTTAGCTGTATACAAAACAACTGTGGATGCAGTCTATAGCCACCTTAATTATCAGGGAAGGGAGTGAAGGTGTTTTTTTCCTGTTGAATTTGAAAAGTTGGCTGGGATAATGCTAATGATTTGGAAAGAAAACTTCAATCTTGGTGGACCCTGGTAAATTTCACCTATAACCCCACTACAAACACAGCTACGGTTTTTGTGCTCACTATACAAAATGCCACTATTTATGTTATTTACACCATTATTGCATTAAGATTAAACCATAAAGGAACAGTTCTTTACCCTTTCAAGCATAGAATGGGGGCTTGAATGGTAGTTAAGAAATGGCAGACTGTAAATTTAGAGTCTTGCATTACACAAGAACAACAAGGGTTTATTTGTGAAAGTAACACAATTGATGTTGAAGACATACGCCTTGATGTGGAGCAAGGCATCTGTCATTTTGAAGCTCATCCAGATACTACTCAAAAACCTACTTACATATATTGGCCAAGGCTGCGTATGCCTAAGAACTGCTTGTACTTTTATAAGGATAGATAATGATAACATAACTGCTAAAAATCATTCCAATATTTGCATTTCTAACTTTGTTAAAATTATTAAATGTGACTTCTCATATTTAGCACCAGTTGTATCCCACCAGTTACTAAAATCTAATTATACTACAGATCACAAATTATCACCTACACCAATTGGGATGAACCTCACATTAATAAGACAGCTGATAAAACAACAAGACTTAATTGGTATCTTAAAGGAGGTCCAAGAAAGTGGAAAGAAAACCTTAATTACTGTTCCTCATGATATGGAGAAAATAAATAGGGTTCTTCTAAGGATAAGGCAAGACAACGAATCATCGCTGGTGGGATGTAATTTTTGGATGGTCACCCACCGCAACTGGCGTTCTAAATACGTTACTTCACCCTATCATTGTTCTTTTAATATTAGTTGGTATAAGCTTCATACTCTCTGTTGTGTTATTTGTTTGGAATTGGAGAATGTTGTAACGAGTAACAGCTCTGACTTCGTTGTCAAAGATACATAGTAAAGAGCTAAGAGATACCTTTCATACAAGCTCACTAGGAGAAAAATCTATGTATTAGTAAAAGAATTTGCTAACTTTATAGAAAAAGGGGGACTGATGCAAAGGGTTAACAAATGTACAGGGGGGTTAGGGTTAAGCCACTTGCTTAACAACGTTACTGCTTGCTCATGCTTATGGTACTTGCAATGTACAAGGGGATAGGTCAAACCGTTTACTTAACAACGTTACTGCTTTGCAAGTACAATTCTTATTGTACTTGCAATGTACAAGGGGGTAGATCAGGCTGCTTGCTTAACAATATCATTGCTCATTCATGACAATGCTAGGACAAGATAAAAGGACGTAGCTATTGTTAAGAAGTAGGAACTGTGACTTGACTCCAGTCCTTTGGACACCTCCATGTATGCTAGAACACGATATAAGGACATAGCTATTGTTAAGAAGTAGGGACCGTGACTTGATTCCAGTCCTTTGGACACCTAGCCAGGCTGAAATTGACTCTGATGTTTGGAAAATGAGCAAGCCTCCAGGGAGCATGCTTAATGACTAGAGGTGAAAAGTTCAGGCTCGAGGAAGACTCATTTGCTTCATCTTGAGACCCTCGCCCACGACCACTAGGAGACACTGTGCAGGCGCAAAGGACTTCTTAGCTCATTACAATAGGAAGCGGGGATAGGACATGAATATGTATAGGCATGTTGTGCAACCTCATGCATATGTATAACCTTAGAGGATAAATGTAAAGGGGAAATGACGTTAAGGTGCGCATGTTTTTGGGGGACTTATCCTCCATGATCCTCAGTGCTGAATAGAAAGCATACCTACTTTACAACTTTAATGAGTTGTGGAGTCTATCCACGCATCAGCTGTTGCACTGTCATTTCCTCAACCGGTAATAAGAAATATGATCACAATCGGTTTGGGATTTTTCTTGTAAAATACACTGAGATCTTGGGGAGGAAAGCACCATGCAGGATTTAATTTTGGTTATCTAATAAAATATAAACAATGCCTTTTTAATAATGTGTAGAATCTTTGTTTTTAAAGGAACCTTCATCTGCTTCATTTGGAAGTGTCAGTCACTCATGCATAATGACAGAAGTGCACCAACAAGGCAGCCAGAAACAAAATACCAGAGCCTTCTCATTCTGCCTCTTGACATACTGGAAATTCTAGTGTTTTAATTTTCACTTACTACAGCATATTGAATAAGATTGAAAAGAAATGCACCTAATCCAGATATGCACTTTGACCCCTTTTCTTTGACCCTGACATTGAAAACAAAATTCTGTCAGTTTTGCTTGGTTCAGTAAAGGGCAAGTGTGCAGAGACTGTCAGGAAATCCATTCCTACTTGGTAAATCTCGCACAAAAATGCCTAAAGTAAACAGCAAAGTAAGTTCGCTTTACTGGAGACAAACTCAGAACTTTGCTCATTCAAAGACACTGTTTACAAGTTAAAGCCATGGCTCAGGCTGTCTTTCTTCTTAAACTACCAATCTATAGTGCCTGAAGGCATTTGCAAAGAAAAGAATCGGGAGATTTCCTCCTGCTATCACGGTCTAACAGAAGTGCTTGATGTTCTGAATATAGAATGATTGTGTTTCGGTAGTCCGAAAGCCTGGAGGGCTGCAGCTGAAATGACGACATATATGTGCTGTCACCAGCAAAATCTGATTGCTCTGCATAGAAGCCCAACTAAAGTTATCCAGACCAATACAAATCTTTCTGGTGGAAAATGAACTCCCAATAAGCCTATTAATATCATAAAAAAGATTTAAAAAAGGTCAGTTTAAATGGTTCTGTATGTTATCTTCCTCAAAGGCTCTGCTTATGCTTGGAATAGAGATTTGCTTGAAAATGCTGTTGAGACACAGTTTGAGTTCAGCTCTTGCTGTTCCATTACTACAACGGTTTGGCAGCCTGGCAAGAGCTTGGATGAGACATTAGAATCTATGTCTTTTTCTTCCCCCCCCCCCCCCCCTTCCTTAATGTGACTGTATTTTGTCCTAAACACTTTTCTGTCTGTTACAGGTCATGGGTGATGTGGAATCCTTCTGTATTGCTTTTAAGACATGTTTTCAACATGGCTTGCTTTCTTAGAATAGACCTGATCTGTACTTGCAAGGGGAAGAATTAAATGAAATTATTATAGATTATGGAATAGACTGAGCAATAAAAGCATGTTATAATCA